TTTTTATCAGAAAAAACATGAAGACAAAAATGTTTTAACATGAAAAACCATAAAAGTGGCATTATTTCCTCATTTCCCTCCATGCTTTTGATTTATATTATTTAAAAGTGTTTGTTTTCTACCTAAAGCCTTTCTTTTTCACTTCATGTTCCCTAAGAGTTTGACCCTGAGGTGAATTTATAATTTTGTGGTTATGACTTCAACCCGTTGCTATGGGAATGTCTGTGATTTAACAAACAGAATCATAACAATAGGGTTTTGTACTATTTAGCATTTTTCAACCGAACATTAAAAAATATTTTGCAAACACCATCTCAATAATCCTAGCAACCTCCCTATTTGGGTGTTTGTAAGACTTTTTTATTTTTCTCATAAATTGGAAGAACCGAGACAGAAGCAGAAGTGGGGCTTTTTACACAGCTATATACTGTCAGCATCTGAGCCTGGTCCAGGATCCAAGTGCATTCACTACTGCTATTTTATCGTGCAATCACAGAGGTAGAATCTTTGTGTTACAAATATCGGCAGATAATTTCTGTACTTGATACAAGCATCTACCATGCCTGATGAAGGTGACCAAGAAATACATTTTTCTTTCAATTACCTGTAGGCTTTAACGTGTTTCTTTATTTGAGCACTTTGTAAAAACACCCTTGAGAATCTAGAAAACTTTTTAACAGGGAGAACCATCATCTCCAAGAAAAGTGAATTAAAATCAGTGAAACTATTTTAAGCATTAACTGAGTTTTCTTGGACAATTTTCTACAGGAAACAATCCTAAACTAACAAAGAGAATGTTCAGCTGGATTAGCAAAGGCGGACTTTCCCTGCTTTGATTTTCACAGTCCTGTAATCCATCCCAGATGTCAAATCCTGAAATTTAGAGTTCAGAATTCTGAACTATCCTCTCCAGTGAGACCATAAACACATTTTATGAGGCTGCTAAGTCACACACCAAAACAAATTTTTAACAAACCATTTTTTTTAAAGAAAACAAAACTAAGTGAACCAGACATGAACATACTTAAGAAATGTACCTTTGAACCATTTAACATGAGGTGGAGGGACGCCAGAGGTTTGGCATTCCATAACTGTTGTATCCCCAAGGGCAACCAAGAGCTCACTCTGAGCTACAATCAATTTAGGGGCTTCTGGAAAAAACAAACATGCAAATAGTCAACATCTAGCACAATGCCACATGGACCTTGTTTATGTTTACTAAATGAATCAATAAAAAAATCTATCAGTATTTATGTGCCTGCGGCTACTT